TCATACTGTTGATAGGAATGTAAATTGGTACAGCTACTATCGAGAACAGTAGGAGGTTCCTTAAAAAACTAAAAATAGAGTTACCACATGATCCAGCAATCCCACTTCTGGGCATATATCTGGATAAAACTATAACTCAAAAAGATACATGCAACCCCAATGTTCACAGCAGCACTCTTTACAATAGCCAAGACATGGAAGCAACCTTAATGTCCATCAATAGATGAATGGATAAAAGAGATGTGGTGTGTGTGTGTGTGTGTGTGTGTGTGTGTGAGCGCGCGCGCACACGCGCACATACAATGGAATATTACTCAGCCATAAAAAATGAAATAATGCCATTTGCAGCAACATGGATGGACCTAGAGATTATCATATTAAGTGAAGTAAATCAGAGAATGACGAATTTCATATAATATCAAAAAAACTTAAAATGTGGAATCCAAAATAAATGATACAAATGAACTCATTTACAAACCAGAAATAGACTCATAGACATAGAAAAACTATGGTGACCTAAGGGGGAAGAGGGAGGAGGAAGAGATAAATTGAGAATTTGGGATTAGCATATATACACTACTGTATATAAAACAGATAAACAAGGATGTACTGTATAGCATAGGAAAATATATTCAATATCTTATAATAACCTACAATGGAAAAGAATCTGAAAAAGAATATATATGGATATGTATAATTGAATCACTTTGCTGTACACCAGAAACTAACACAACATTGTAAACCAACTATACTTCAATTAAAAAAATCAGTACCCAACCTTAACATAAATCGAATATTATAAAAACAGACTTGAGTTAATCAAAACATGGCTATAAAAGTCCAGAAAAATGTTTAATAATTATATAGTCAAAATAAGACTGTAATATCAAAAGGCAAGAAGTAATTTTTAAAGAAATTATGGTAAGAATTATTCTAATTTTGTCTCATTAAGATAAATAACATATACTTATAATGCATACACACTATTATAAAATACTGCATAATACTTACACCTTCTGCATACTGTAGGTATCGTTTATTAGTTTCCTGTTTGCCAAATGTCTCCAAAAACTTTTGACGGTAAGCAAGAACTGTATCAACATGTGTTTTGTATTTTACAGCCAATTCAAGTGCCCTATAAAGAGAAATAAAATAGGTTATCAGCATTGCTGGGTTAGCCTCTAAGGGCAGTAGAGTTTTGGGGTAAGTCCACATTGTTCCCTCCACTCATCCCTCAATATTCCCTACCTTAACCATCTTGCAAATTCCTATTTATACTTCAGGGCCTGGACCAAATATGACCTCTTTTCCTTGACCAGCTCTCCTTGCAGAAATAAACGACCATTATATCTTATCTGTGCTACATAGCATATTATACATATTATTATTACAGCCCTGCTTACAGTGTATTATAATTATTATGAATCTGTTTTTCCACTAACTTACACATTAACTGAAGCTCGGAGATCTGGGTTTAATTTCTCTTTGGTGAATAAACAGAGTGTATGTATGGTAAACGTTCACTGAAAAATTCTCTGAAGTCATAATAAAATTCAAGAATGAACTTTCCCAGTGTAAGTGGTTCGACTATTTTGACCATGTTTCTAAGCCTGTAATGAATTTATTCTGTTCGATATTCAACTAAATACCAATATCATTACATTATTATTACTACAATAAATTAGAAATATTATAAAAATCAAATTTGAGGATAATAAAAATCTAACAAAATGCCTTTTTTCCATTTGGTTCTTAGAAATTAATAGCCATTTAAATTTTATAATCCAATTAATATCTATCTATGTAACTAAGTTATTTAGGGGGGAGGTAATTAGGTATGTATGTATGTATGTATTTATTTATTTATGGAGGTATTGGGGGTTGAACTTAGGACCTTGGGCATGCTAAGCAAGCACTCTACCACTGCCATACCTTCCCCATTTGTAATTAAGTTATTTTTAAGGTAGTATTTTATTTAAACAGCAAACAAGAACTAAATGAATTACTAAAATCAGTGGTATAACACCAAAGACACAAAATCTATATACTGATAATTTGGAGGGAGATGAAAAGATTATTCCTCAGTTCCAGGCCTATTTTTGCATACAGTTTTGGACAGCATCTCAGCCTGCGACCCTGTGCATAACTCATATTAGTTGAAGCAGGAACAATCTGGTGGAGTATAGCTCTCCTACACTGTTCACTGTCATCTTGTCCTAAAGTATGGGAAATAGTCATTATAACAGTCAAAGTACATTATTTCTCAAGTCCTCTTGCTTTCGAATATGACATATGACTTCTGAATAAGCCAGTCATGATTTATCAGAGCCAACTATTACAAACCTGTTGTATTGGACAAAACTGACTACTGACAAGAATTTTTGCAATGTGTGACTCTTTAGTAGGAAAATCTGTTTCATTCCTAGCATATTTTGGTTTGATGTAAACTAGTGACTTCAAAAAGTATTTTAGATATTCTGCATGTATTAATTGACAATTGATAGACAATTTAGAGAGATCTTACAGACTTATTAAGAAATTACGAATGTCAGCCGTGTATAATACAAATGATAATGCCAAAGTTCAGTACAACTTCTTACAAAAATATATTGGTATAAACAACAGTGCTAAATCCAAGGGTCAATATTTGCTACCCATCACAAACTCCTCACAAAGTTCCCTCATTCCTCTGTGATTTTAAGTCTTTCAGAGAAAAAGAAGATACACAGAAAAAGATGTAGGGGGACTAGAAGATAGAGGAACAAAAGTTGAAAACAAGGGAAGGTAAAACATTTCATAGAGGCTCAAAAGATAAGAAATGGAAGTAAGGATGCCTTCATTCTTCTAGCCCTCTCCCATAGCCTGCCCCTGTGTATCCCTAAGGCTCTGATTCCTGTGGTGCATGTGTGAGTGGAGACTCTGATGAACCACCTCTTTGGCACCTTAGAAGTTCCATTTCCCATTCTTTCTTTGTGACTGTACATGATGGAGGAAGGAGCTCTTGATTATGCAAAACTAGAAATGTTCTAAGTAGAGAATACATTAGCATCCATTCTGGGTTGGGGTTTTCAAAAATTCCAAAGAGATACCTTATTATGGGACATCAATACATTTTAATTACATAGAAAGGCTAGAATATGATGTCTAATCCTGCATTTAGATATTAGATAATAAGTATTATCTATTATTAGTAGTATAAAATATATATTAATTATCTGACTGAAGAGCAATGGAAAGGAAAGGAAAACACTCAAATGATATGTACTATTTTAAATGTTCTCTAAAAGCACACACTGGGCAAAAAAAGTTTCTCTACCACATTTAGGAGGGAATTCACTCCAAATTATATAAGAGTTGTGGGGACAGTATGTCTCTAGCTTTAAAATGGTTATTTGGCAAGCAAACAAATGTAACATTAGATTATGGGGCTGGAAAAAATCCATGTATCCTATCTGATTTTAAATAGAAGGAAGTTATATAAAAAGATGTTATAACTTCAAAGTACAATTTTTTGCATAACTTGAATGAAACAAAATCACTTTATATAACTGGTATAAGTAGAGAAACTATTTTTATTAATATTTACATAAAGGATCAATATGCATGCTTGGAGTTTCTCATTTCTTAACTTTAATTTTTGAAAAAAGACTACCACCAAATGTCCAATGTGACTGTCAAGCAGATAACTTGTGTATCTACAGCTCTTCAACAGCTGCATCTTATTAGGTTGCAGGCAATTTTCAAATTCAAATATAAATGAGAGAAGCACAAACCAGCAAGACTATGCTTCTCAAACAGAATAACACATATTAACAAAGTAAAATCTGTTCCCTTCTAAAGGATTCAAACAAATGGGGAATACAGAAATTCAGGGATCATAAAGCAATCTAACACATTAGTCATCTGATATTTAAATTCTATCCTTCTAGAGTTCTGGAAGGATAGAATCAGAATATCACCATAATTGTGGTAGCTCACAGTGAAAAACATGTGACAATGAATATATGTATGTTCATGTATAACTGAAAAATTGTGTTCTACACTGGAATTTGACACCACATTGTAAAATGACTATAACTCAGTAAAAAAATGTTAAAAAAAAAGAATATCACCATAATTGATTAAAGGATCTGGGCAATGACTATCAATGGCTGCTAACATCACAAAAGATAGACAATTAGACAACCAGTTATTATGCAAATATACATAACACCAATTCTGACAGATCCTTAACAAAAAGAAAAAAGAATTAAACCTAAATCTAATCAAGTTTCTACATTCAACACCAATTCACAGCTAATTCAGGGGGGAGAGAGACATGTTAAATGACACCACAAAGATGAAATCAACCAAGTCCAGAGTATGAGAAGTTTTACAGGCCCAGTTCCAGCAATGGCAAAATTGCAAGAAACATAAAAAAGAACTAGGAGAACCTACAGAGTAAAGGAAACTTAACAATGTATCAACCAATCACAA